TTGATGATAGGTTCATCTGGTTTTGCCCACTGGATAGGGAAGGATGTGAAGATGGACATGGACCCCATTCTTGATTGTCGATGGGAAAATTGGTACGCTCTCGTTGGGGTGTTCTCCTGGATTAGGATTCCCCATTCCCCTGATTTCCAGGTGAAGTCCTCGTTGAGTAGATCTTTCCAGCTATGCGGGATGCTCCGCACGATCTTCTGTAGGTTTTCATATCTGTGGTGACAGCCTTTTAGTCTGTGTTTAAGTTCATCTTCGTCCAACCAGTCTCTCCTTTCCTCATTCCATATATCTCTCACTCTCCAGATCCCATTTTAGCCATTTATTTCCCGTTTGGGACAGCGTCCAGGGGTGGTTCCCTTTGTCTTTCACCCATGGGTTTCCAAAGAGCGGTTGTCTCCGTTCTTCTTCCTTTGATCTGGGTCTGTTTATCTTTCCTGGCATAATTTCCCTCCAGATTCGTAACAGGGCTGTCCAGTAGGGCAGCGATCCTTGTTCCTGTCTTGGAATTCCTCCTCTCTTCCACCTCCTCCTACCTGTTTTAGGACTCCAATCTTTATTCATCACCCAGAATTGCCCTGACATGTTGGGGGGGGATGTTGTTGGCGCTAGGCTCCCGATGCTGTCAAGGGCCAGCTTGTTCCATGCCAGCGAATGTCTGGTCAGGAGTTTGACTATCCATTTGGTCTGGAGGGATCTTGTTTCCAGTCTGGGGTCTATTATCCCTAAGCCACCCTGAGCGGTTACCTTGTGATGTAGTGCCATGCAATCTTTGGTATGTAGTTCTCTTTGTTAGGGTCCCCTGACCATAGATAAGCTCTAGTTTTTTGGTTTAGCTCTTTGATTGTCTGGTCAGGTATGGTCCATATTGAAGCAATGTACCACATCATTGAGAATATAGACGTATTGATGTTTAGTGCCCGGCCCAGTAAAGATGTATAGGACTGGCTCTATTTTCCCATTTTGTTTATTTTGCCGGTCAATAGGTTATGTGCCATCTGGGGTGCCGGTCTGTCTTTTGTTATTTGAATTCCCAAGTATCTCGTAGGGGATTCATGTATTTCCCATGTCATGTTAGCTTCAGGGCCTTGCAGCTGGGGGACTGGTTCTTCAGATAACCACCAGCCTATTGTCTTTCTCCAATTTATCTTCATCTCTGAAGCTAGCTTGAAGGCTTCCATTGCTCAGACTAGTGCTGCCATGAAGGAGTTAGAAGGTCGTATTGATACCGTTAGGTCGTCAGCGAACATGCTTACTGTGGGAAATGCCATATGATGGGGGGAGCCTACGTTCATTTCCGGAAGTCTTTGGATAGACGGGTCCTTGCGTAAGAAGGACGCTATCGCCTCCATGACAAAGAGGAAGATGGGTGGGGCCAATAGGTCCCCCTATCGTACAGACCTGGAAATCTGGTAGCTTTCAAATAGAAGCCCATTGATCTGAACACAACCAGATGCATCGTTATATAAGATTCTTACTCACTTTCTAAAAATTGGGCCCACACCCATTTTTTCCATACTTGCGTCTAGAAAAGTCCAATTTACTTGGTCGTAGGCCTTTTCAAAGTCTAATAATAAAATCGCTGCACTGATTTTCTTTTCCGTGATTCTCTTTTGAGGCCTCGTTTGGAGTCATAACATTGTCTAGAATGTATCTTCCTTGTATAAACCCAGCCTGATCTATGTGAAAGCATTTGTCTATTAGCTCTAGGATTCTGAAGGCTAGGGCTTTCGCCAAAATTTTGTTGGGAAGGGTTAGTAAGGAGATTGGTCTGTAGTTCCTGATGTCTTCCCGCTCCCCTTTCTTGTAGAGGAGTTTGACGACGCTAGTACTTAGAGGTTCTCCCATGGCTTCTTTATCCCAACAGTCCTTGTAGAATTGCATAAGGTCTGTTCCTAGCAGAGGCCAGAACTTTTCCCAAAACTCTTTTGTTAATCCGTCCACGCCCGGCGTCTTGTTGTTATTCATGCTTCTGACTGCAAAGTGTAGCTCTTCCATCGTTAGAAGTCTGTCTAACTTTGCTGCCTGTTCATCTGAGAGTGTCCTGTCTAAGTATTGGAGCATCCTAGCTCTGGCTTCCCTGACATGAGTGGGAGTTCAGGCCGGTGTCTTAGACTGATAGAGTTCTTTGTAGAAGCTTTTAGCAACCTCCAACATCCCCTCATTGTCTGATCGGATTGTATGTTGGCATATTTGCTCTTTAAGACCTTCAATTGTGTTGGCCCGATTATTGGTTTTTATCCTAGCAAAAAAATGTTTGGACATTTGTTCATGTAGTTCTAGATTTGGCATTCTGGCTCTGATTTGGAGGCCCTTCAGTTCCCATAGGCGCCACATTGCAAGTTCTTCCCGAGATTTTTCGAATACTTCTGTGTACATGGGGGAGGAAGGGTTGGTAATTAAATTACTTTCCGCTATCTTGAGAGTTGTTTCAAGCATGTGTTTTCTCTGCTTCCTGTCATTTACCAGTTTTCTTGAGATTCTTGCTGCTGTTTGTGCCAGCGAGATGTAGCTATCCTGAAACCATTCCCATCGGTCTTGATCAGGTAGGCATCCCCCCTTAAAATTTTGCCAGGCTTTGATGATATTTTTTTGAAAATTTGAGCTTAGCAATAGGGAATTGTTCAGCTTGTGGAAGCTTCTTCCTTTCCTCATGTGTTGGTCAGAACTGATGACTAGTTCAACTGGCGTGTGATCGAGACCTGATTAGGGGGCGAGAGGTAAGATCTCTGCCTCCTTGACTGTTTCCATGAGGTGTTCTGAAACAAGAAAGTAATCTATGCGGGAGAAGGATGTATGTTGTGCATGCTTTTTCTTGACCGGGGAGAAGCCTTTGGTCGATGGGTGCAGGGTTTGGTAGGTGTAGGATATCAGAAAGTGAAATGCACTGAAAGCCTAGGATCTGGCAATGACGAAAGTGGCAACAACCAGCAGCATAGGAGCAACATTCACAAGGTGTCAATGTGCACGATGCAAAGAGTGAAACAACGAGAA